GTAGAGCGTCGGTCTGCGGACTGAAAGGTCCCAGGTTCGATTCCGGTCAAGGGCATGTACCTTGGTTGCGGGCACATCCCCGATAGGGGGTGTGCAAGAGGCAGCCGGTCGATGTTTCTCTTTCATCGACGTTTCTAGCTCTCTCTCTCTCTCCCTTCCTCCTCTCTGTAAAATATCAATAAAATATATATTAAAAAAAAAAAAAGAATCCTGCCTTTTACTACGTGTCTATATCCTCAGACAGCTCACTCACCCCGCCTGAGGCGGTGCCTTCTCATCTATACAATGGAAATAATATCCATTCCTGTGAGTGATTGTCATATTGCTGTCATGTATGTAAAGTACAGTGTGGTTGCTGGCATCTCCGAGACAGCTCGCGTGACTGGTGACTAATGTGCGGTCTTGAGTGCTGTCCTCGCCAGGAGCGCCGTTTGATGGATGGGACTGACTCTGAGCTTCAGACCGAAGTGTGGGCAAGTCCCTTTGAGAAAAGCTCAGAGCAGCCCTGGCCCTGCCTGGGAGGGGGCGGCACAGGAGGGCGCTCTCGGACGTGAGCTCACTGTGCTTTGCATCTGGGGCCTCTTCCAGAAAGAACAGGGACTTAGACCCATTTTGGCAAACGTAAGAAACAATCTGTCCTTTTAAATGAGCAGCAAGATGACATATAGCAATATTAACGCGCAGGAGCTTGCAATAATTAGACAATATAGTTAGGTTAATCTGCTCCTCAAAAGACATTCATTATTTGCTCTGATAAATTCCATTTAACTCCTAACTGGCAGTTGTCCTGTGTGTGTGTGTTATCGATACATTTTAGCTGGAACAGTTGTGTTGGAGGTTATGCCTCTGTAGTCTTTTGGGTAAGCAAGGTTAAGAGAGAGCTTGCCATTTTGTTTCTATATATATATATTTTTTTTTTAATTGATTTTTTAGAGAGAGGAAGAGAGGGATAGAGAGCTAGAAACGTCGATGAGAGAGAAACATCGGCCAGCTGCCTCCTGCACGCCCCCCACTGGGGATGTGCCCGCAACCAAGGTGCATGCCGTTGGCTGGAATCGAACCCGGGACCCTTCAGTCCGCAGGCCGACGCTCTATCCCCTGAGCCACACCGGTTTCGGCTTAGGTATTGTTTTGAGAACATAACATTGGATCTCTGAACTTTAGTTAGAATTGCTTATGATGTCTTTTTACATTTTTATCTTCAAAGAAATGTAGTTTTTTATATTCTAAACAGAAAGGGAGGCTGCTGGTAGAAATTTTAAACCTGATCTTTACAGAGATGAAGCAACATCAGCTTGACCTTTCTGCGCTCACAGATTCAGATTGAACCGCTCCGCTCAAATTCATGTTTCATGTAAACAAAAACTCAATGTTTAAATCTTTCTACTTTGTTTAAAGTAAAGCAGATTAAAATTTCTGCAGGCAGAATTCTGTCCCGATTCCAGAAAAGAGTCAGTGCCTGAGTTTATATCATAAACTTGTGTAATTTTTACCTCTTACATATTTTTGTATGACCATTTTAATGTCTTGATAATGTGTATCTGGGATGCGTATCCCTGTGCAAAGATTGTGTTAGAATTTTATAAAGAAATTCACCCACATTCAACCACCACTGTCTAGGAAGTTGGGCAGAAATTATAACTTTGTAACTTACCTTAAAAAATGCAAAAAGGCCCGAGCCGGTTTGGCTTAGTGCAGTGGTCGGCAAACCATGGCTCTCAAGCCACATGTGGCTCTTTGGCCCCTTGAGTGTGGCTCGGCGTTAGAGCCACTTCTTCAAAAAAGACTCACCCAGCCGAAACCGGTTTGGCTCAGCGGTAGACTGAAAGGTCCCAGGTTTGATTCCAGTCAAGGGCATGCACCTTGGTTGCGGGCACATCCCCAGTGGGGGGTGTGCAAGAGGCAGCTGGTCGATGTTTCTCTCTCATCGACATTTCTAGCTCTCTATCCCTCTCCCTTCCTCTCTGTAAAAAATCAATAAAATATATATATATATATATATATATTTAAAAATAAAAAATAAATAAATAAAAACCAGACTCATCCAGGCCGAATACTGACTTCTGCTCATTGACCACGAAGTTCCAATCGCACTGTACGTGCGCGCCCACACTTGGTATTTTGTGAAAGAGCCACACGGGACGGTCCCTTCGCCTGGCCTGCGATCCGGCCCATCCTCCCCAGCTGCTGCCACCTACCCCCGGTTCCCCATCTGCCACCGAGTGACCGGTGCCTGCCGGCGGGGGAAGGGACAAGAGGTGGTCAGGGCGCCTCACAGTGACTGGCCCAGCAGTTGTTCCGGTCGTTCTGCCGTTGGGGTCCATTTGCATATTGCCCTTTTATTCTATAGGATTCATTAACCTCAGGGGTAGGACTGTGAGCATGGGTTAGTTGTCTTTTTACCGCCTGGAAGGTACAGGCACAGCATGGACACCGTGAAGTCCCGTTCACATGGCTGCTCCGCCCTCCTGGGGACACTGGGAGAGGGCAGTGTGTGCCAGGGGGTGCTGGCCGCCCTGCAGGCCCGCTGCTCCAGGCCGCCTGTCTGTATGAATTAGGGGGAAGTCCCCCTTCTCAAGTTACTCTACCGCCATCTGTTGGGAAATGACTGCCATAAAAACGAAGATGTGCAGTGACCGATAGGAATCACACTTCCCTCCAGTGTCCTCCCGTGTCCACGCTGCTCAGCTCTGCACGGAGCCCTGCGGCCAGCACAGGCCCGGGCCCTGAGAACCGCACTTAACGCCAGTGGCCGCCAGGGGCCCGGGCAAGCCTCAGGAGCCTGCGAAGTCGGGGTGCTCGTAATTGAGACTTTCCAACCAGCACGCTGGGTCCCGGAGGCTAGAGAACGGCCCAGTCACGTCTGTCAGGCTGGGCTGGGTTGGGGTGAACCTGGGCAGCGAGACCCCGCGCCTGGCTCGTGGCCAGCGACGGTGCTCCCGAGCCTCCGGACCAGCCCGACAGCGGCTCCCTCACCGCGGGCGGCTCTGCAGCTCAGCCTTTGTCCAGTCTTGACAGCAGAGGAGGGATCTGTGCCTCGTTCTGCCGGCCCTGGTGTGTAGGGAGGTGCTGTCTCTGTTTCAGAGTGACTCGGTCCTCTTGCTGCCCTGCGCATAACTCCTCCCCAGTCCCCGGTCTTTTTTTTTTTTTTTTTTTTTTTTAATATATTTTATTGATTTTCCACAGAGAGGAAGAGAGAGGGATGGAGAGCCAGAAATGTCGATGAGAGAGAAACATTGACCAGCTGCCTCCTGCGCGCACGCGTGCGCGCGCGCACACACACACACACACACACACACACACACCCGGGATGTGCCCGCAATCAAGGTACATGTCCTTGACCGGAATTGAACCTGGGACCCTTCAGTCTGCAGGCCGACGCTCTATCCACTGAGCCACACCGGTTTTGGCTGTCCGTGGTCTTGATGGAGAACGGCCCGCCGAGCTGCTGCCGCTGCTGTGGGCTGGGCTCGCCCTCCTGGTCCCTCCTTCCTGAGGCCGCGGGGGCTCCCATCTCACAGGGACCACCCCTTCCTCTGTCCTGTCCCTTCCTCATCTCACCACTCGGTGAACCCTTAACTGCTGTTCTCCCCAACACGCCTCTCATCTTCGCTCCCAACGATCTTTCTGCCTCGCGGGGTGATGTAGGGAAGTGCCCCCGGCAGGGAGGGCCTGTGTCCACGGAGCGCTGCTGGCCTCCGAGGCGGGTTTGGTACGTACGGGCTGTTGTACTGAAACACAGAAACGCCTCCTGAGCCAGAGGCCTCCGACAGCATTCTCTGGCGGCCTCCTTCCCGCCCGAGAGCCCCGATCAGAAAGCCCGGACCCAGGCCTCGTCCCAGCTGCTGTCCTGATGCTTTTGTATCGACCAGAAGCCTTGTTTGCGGACGGTCAGTGAGGTCCTGGTGGTCGGGGGGCAGGAAAGGCCTGGAGCTCCTGGCTTGTTGGTTTGGCCCAGACCCTGTCACTTCCCACAGGACACGGTTCACGTCACCAACAGCATCGCCTCTTGGCGGGTTAAGGAGATTTCATTCAGGTTGTGTTTATACGGACACTTACAGCGACATTAGCGCTTTCCGATGCTCACGGAGAGGCTTTTCAAACACACATTTACTGATGTCAGAGAGGAAGAGAGAGGGAGAGAGAAACATCACTGATGAGAGAGAATCTTGGATTGGCTGTCTCCTCCCCTCCCCCCATACAAGCCCCACGGGGGATGGAGCCCACAACCCGGGCACGTGCCCTTAACCAGAATCACACCCGGGACCCTTCCGTCCACAGGCTGACGCTCTGTCCACTGAGCCACACAGCGAGGGCTGGAGAGGCTTTGAAGACTTGCTGAGTTCTAATGTGGATGCGTGTCTCTGAAGGACTCGCAAAACTGACCCTTTCCCATGATGCTTTGCGAACATGCCTAGGAGGGGCTAGAGACACTTTATGTTAGAACTTGTTGGCCTGGGTGTCCCAAATGTAAGTGTATTTTGATTTAACAACAAATGTCCTTTTGCCGAAACCGGTTTGGCTCAGTGGATAGAGCGTCGGCCTGCGGACTGAAATGTCCAGGGTTCAATTCCGGTCAAGGGCATGTACATTGGTTGCGGTCACATCCCCAGTAGGGGGTGTGCAGGAGGCAGCTGGTCGATGTTTCTCTCTCATCGATGTTTCTAGCTCTCTATCCCTCATCGATGTTTCTAACTCTCTATCCTTCGTCTCTGTAAAAAATCAATAAAATATATCTATATTTGACAAATGTCCTTTTATATAACATCCTCTCTAATAAAAGGGTATTATGCAAATTAACCGGCACTGCCGTCACAAAGATGGCAGCACCCAGTCCTCTCAGCCCCTCTGGGTGCCCCAGTCCCGGGGTGGGGGGTCGCTAAGAGCGGGCAGTGTGAGCGGCCTGGCGGATGCTTGCCAGCCCCACAGAGAGCTGCTGGCACACGGACTCGTGTGCAGGGCTGGTGAGTACACATCGGTGATGTGCTCTCTCCTTTCAGGAGCTGTACATTGCTGTGGGCATCTCTGGAGCCATCCAGCACTTAGCGGGGATGAAAGACAGCAAGGTAAGGACGCGGCAGAGTGCTGCTCAGTGATAAACTCTCCTGTGTGTGGCGCTCAGCCGCCCTGTAGCTCTGGGACTGAGGATGGGGAGGGGCAGTGCCGGGCCTGGGAAGAGGCCTGCCCGTTCCTGCCCCAAGCTGCTGCCCTCCGGGCGTGTCCTGTGCACGCAGTTCCTGCCGGCCCCGGGCATGTGCTGAGGTCCCTTCAGCTCTGACACCTGTGGGTGGAAACAACCTGGTGAGGTTCTGACCCTGCCTCCGTCTCTCCTTGGGCTGGGCTGTTGTGAGGTGTGGCGGACACATTTTGAGTCGGGAGTGTCCTCATACTGCAGTAATTTTAAAATAGAGCGTTCGGCCGAAGCCGGTTTGGCTCAGTGGATAGAGTGTCGGACTGGGGGACCCTGGGTTCGATTCCGGTCAGGGGCGTGTGCCTTGGTTGCGGGCACATTGCCAGTAGGGGGTGTGCTGAAGGCGGCTGATCGATGCTTCTCTCTCATCCATGTTTCTAACTCTTCCTCTCTGTAAAAAATCAATAAAATATATTTTTAAAAAATTGTTTTAAATAGAGCATTTGCGGGAACACTGATTCCCACGGGCTGCAGACCTGTGTGAGGCCTGTGCGTGGCTCAGTGAGCGTCCTCCAGAGCATGGCTCATGGGTCCGTGCACCCCAGTGTTCAGTCTGAACTAGGAACGGAGTCTTTCGTGAAGTCAGAGATGCTTCTGGCACTCCTGCTTTTATCCGTTAGGATGGAAGTTGGATATAAAAGGAAATACAACGTTAACTTCTGACTCAAAAGGATACACGCAGCACCTTCTATAACTAACGCATGGCCTCAAACCAGTCCGCTTTTTTTTTTTTTAATTTATTGATTTTTTACAGAGAGGAAGAGAGAGGGCTAGAGAGCTAGAAACATCGATGAGAGAGAATCATCGACCAGCTGCCTCTTGCACACCTCCTACTGGGGATGTGCCCGCGACCAAGGTACATGCCCTTGCCCGGAATCGAACCTGGGACCTTTCAGTCCGCAGTCCGCTCTGTCCACTGAGCCACACCGGTCTCTGCAAACCAGTCCGCTTTTACGGCGGGTGGCAGACTCCTCACCGAGCGGGAGAGGGTGTTGCTGCGATAAAGGGAAACACTCAACAGCAGCAGCCGTCATCACACTGAGCGGGCAGCTTAGACACCCAGAATCCTGCCTCTCGGAACTCTGCCTGCCGCCTGCCAGGCTTGTCATTGAGAAGGGAGCATAGAACTCTCCCTCCACTTACGTGGGCTGGTTTCTTGACACATTTCTCTCTCAGACCATCGTGGCCATTAACAAAGACCCAGAGGCGCCCATCTTCCAGGTGGCAGACTACGGCATAGTCGCAGATCTCTTCAAGGTAAGCGGCCCTGAGCATGTGGCTCCTCTGAGCACCTCTGAGTTACAGGGAGACAGTGCGTGCGTGTGTGTGTGTGTGTGTGTGTGTGTGTGTGTGTGTATGGACGTAATTTTGAACTGCTTCAGGGGAAGTCCTGATATACACGTGATGCTTACACAGCGTGGTGATGTTCCCTGTAAGAAGTCTGTATTGTCTAACACACCCCTCTGGCTCTCGGCGTCTCATGAGCCTGGAGCCTGTGTGGCAGGTTCTGCAGACACTCCATCAGCTCCCGGGGGTCGGGAGAGCGGGCGCTCGGGGCCAGCTGTCCCCACAAACACGCGCTGCGAGCTGTGCTGGGTTCACGCCGCCCCTCCTGACGTGATGGGGTGGGGCCACCACTTCCCCCGGTCACGCCCTTCACGTTGTTTAGTCCTTTCTCCTCTGCGGCTCCTCCGTGTCAGTCCTCCCGTGAGAGTGACTTCGGTGCTGGGAGCGCCTGGCTCTCCTTCGGCCACGACGGAAGGTGACTGTGCGGGACCCAGTGCCTCTGGCCTCCGTGCCTCGGCCTGCCCGCGAGCTTCTAGGTCACCATGTGCAGAATCCTGCAGGACCTCCTCTGAGAGGAGATCCAGCCCGGAGAGGGGACTGCTGGGGGAGGAGCCCTCACGCAGGGGCGGCTGGGCCTCAGTGACCAGCCTGCAGACGAGGGCAGAGCCCGCTGGTCCGCCAGCAAGAGGGGGCTCCCGCAGGGCGTGGCCGGCCTGGGGGCCCCTGTGCGCGGGGGCACTCTGTGCCCGCGGTGCGGCCGCCGGGGAGCAGGGCCTCGCTGCTCAGCGATGCCCGGAAGCAGTGCCGGACGGAGGAGCCTGCTGCTCGGGCAGCCTGGCTTCCCCTCCGAGCCCAGGTCCTGCCGGGAAGACGGCCCTCCTCAGTGCCCGGCCCTGCCACCTGGCCCAGCGATGTGAGAGCAAACAGCAGAAGGAAAATTACTATGGAAAATGGAGGGGAGTCTTTTTGCATTTCGAGTAGCAAGCCCTTAGTTCAGTGAGAGACAGTTAAGGGGCGAGAACTTTTCATTGAGTGGAGAGCGGGAGCAGGGCTGTGAGGTGTCTCGGCCTCAGACCCGGAGTGGAGGGACCCGGGAGCCATGTCCTCGGGGTGTAAGACGCCCCTCCGGCTGGGACGGCTGCTGCCTCAGGAGCTCAGTTCAGAGAGACTCTCATGCCGCCCGGAAGCCCTGGAGCAAAGTTGTCTGGTATTGATTAGCACCAAGGAGAGGAATTGATTGGTCCTTAAAAATTCAGTCTGGCCAAGACCGGTTTGGCTCAGTGGATAGAGCGTTTGGTCTGCGGACTGAGGGGTCCCGGGTTCGATTCCGGTCAAGGGCATGTACCTTGGTTGCGGGCACATCTCCAGTGGGGGCTGTGCAAGAGGCAGCTGATTGATGACTCTCTCTCATCGATGTTTCTAACTCACTGTCTGTCTCTCATCCTCTCTGTAAAAAAAAATCAATAAAATGTATTTTTTTTTAAAAATTCAATCTGGGGGAAAACTAGGTAAAGATTGTAAAAATATTCAAAATACTGCTTAAGTAGCAGCCTCCCATTCTTTAAAAAAAACCTTTATTATTGAAAGTATTTCAGCCTCCCATGTGTTCCTACAGGCGAAATGCCTTCTTTTCATTTGTCCGTGTCCCCGAGAGATGTGTTTGGGGAAATCACTCAGCAAGTTATTAACACAGCTACTTCCGACTCCTGGTTCTGTCCTCGCATCACTGCCTTCTTAGCTCCCAGCAGCTGCTGGGGGGTCACCCGGGCTTCGGAGATGAGAGCAGGAAAGGACCCCGGGGCAGACTGTACCGCTCGTCACAGGCTGAGGTGTGCTCGGCTGAAGGCAGAATGGTGTGATTGGGGGTGTCACCGTGGTTCTGACAGGAGGGGACGTGGTGGGTTAGTGGATGAATTCCCTGGGGCCACATTCTGTCTTTTAAAAATCAAATATCTAAAGGTATAACAACATTTTTTTTAAATCTCATACACTGTGAATGAAAATTAGCATCATCTACTTTGGATTAAGATCTTACAAAAAATAACTCAGTAGCTGTGTTTAAAAAGACCTTTTTTTAGACTAAAGTTTTCATGAAAAACAGGCTAGAGCCCAACTTCTTCCCAAGGAAACATGACTTTGGTTTAGAACACGTAGTTCCCAGACGCCTTACAGAATGTCCTTCTGCCCAGCAAGGGTTTCGGGTCTCTCTCCATCTGCATCTTCTTTGTCGGGTCCCCTCAGGCTCGGGCACCGCCATGTGCACGTCCTCCGAGGTGCGGGCGGTGCCAGCGCTGTGCCCGAGCGGCTGCCAGCTCCTCGGGGAACAGGCCTCAGCCAGCCCTCAAGAGCTTGGGTGCTAATAGTATGCTCAGTGGTCAGCGCGCAGCTGGTTTCTGTGTGCCTCGGACCCGCGTGCTGTGGGATGAACAGGAGCTGTGGACACAGGAGGAAAGGCCGAGGAGGTTGCAGGAGGCGCGACCGAGCGAGACTCCGTGTGGCCCGGGGAGGGGAGAGGGCGGGGCTGGCACTCGGCACAGACAGGACGCCTTTGTGTGTGTGTGTGTGTGTGTGTGTGTGTGTGTGCGCGCGCGCGCAGGTCTCTTCCGTGTGTGTGTGTGTGTGTGTGTGTGTGTGTACAGGTCTCTCCTGTGTGTGTGTGTGTGTGTGTGTGTGTGTGTGTACAGGTCTCTCCTGTGTGTGTGGGGGGGGGGTGTGTGTACAGGTCTCTCCTGTGTGGGGTGTGTGTGTGTGTGTGTGTGTGTGTGTGTGTGCAGGCTCTCCCGTGTGGGAGGGGAGGCTGGGGGAGGGAGAGGGTGGCACCGGGCACAGGAGGGGGGGACCAGGTCACAGTGCGGCTCCAGGGGCCTCATTACTTTTCTCCATCTGCAGGTAGTTCCTGAAATGACTGAGCTACTGAAGAAAAAATGAGTCATGGTCATGTGTGAAGAAGATTATGATATTCCGCTGAAATCAGAATTCACGGCTATTATAACAATCACTGGGAGGCTGATTTCCTAACGGGGCAGATTCTAACAGGTGCCAGATGCTTTTTTATGGGGTACATTTCTTTTTAACTGTGGCTGCAAACAGTTATTTTTGAAATTTTCTAATTCTGTAATAAAATATAATAAAGTCTTTCCACAGCTTTAAAACTACTACAGAAATATCCTCGCTTTATAGAGAGAGAGAAAACTGAAGAAAGCTGGTAAAAACTCGTTTTTTCTTTGCCTGACTTGTCCGCCGAGGGCTCTGCCTGTGAGCGTGGATGTCGCCGCCGTCCTAACCACAGACCTCGCTGCTGAGGGGGGAGCGGGATTGGCCGATGCGGAGCCAGAAAGCACGGCCGCCCGTGGCTGTCATCTAAACACGCCTCTGCCTCAGAACCCGCCCGGCGCCACCCGCCCTGCGGAACGTGCCTGCTGTGAAGTTACTGTTCCCCTTCCTGCCGGGTTTGTCAGCTTGTAGGGCCGGTGTCTGGAGAGGAGGGGGGAGGAGGAGGGGCTGCTCTCTGAAGCAGGCAGTTGGGGTATAAACTAGCGGCCCCGCGCACGAAACAGGAAATTCACGCAGGGTGTGTGGGGGCAGGCCCAGGCCACCAGCCGGCCACAGTGGCGGGCGTGCGGGTCTGGCCAACAATCGCCCTAGAGAGGGAGGCCCAGGCCAGCCAAACGATTGCACCTCACACCTGTCGCCTGCAGAGGCGGGGGCAGCGCAGGTGGCAGCAGCAGGGCGGGGCCAGCTGCCGGCAGCCGGGGAGGGAAAGCCCTGATGGGCCCTGCTCTCAGGCCAGGCCTGGGACCTGCCTGAGGGCACGCGCGGCCGTGCTTGCTCAGCTCCGAGTTGGCCAATCCCGTTCCCTCTCTTGGCGATGGATCACATGGCGATGGATCACGGGGCTCTGGGATGGATCGACAGCAGAGGGAGGCCCGCCCACAATCTGTCACCACCCAGAAGATGGCCTAGGCCTCCCTCTTTGGGGTAATTGCGGAACCCCACCCCCACCCCCTCGATAGATTGCCCCGCTGGCCAGTGGCCTTGGCCTCCCTCTCTAGGGCGATCGTGGGTGGGGCCCCCGACCAATCGCATCGCACCCGCCTTGGCTGGCCTGGCGCCGGCGTGTGCCATAGCGTGGTCTCTGGTCCGGACGGTCATTCTGCTGTTCAGTCGTTGGGTCGACTTGCTTTTATTATAGGATGTTTAAAGTCACACGCAGAGAATGCTCCCGAGGCGGCCTCTGAGCTCTCAGAGGCAGTGGGCGTGCGGCGCCACAGGCACGGCTGAGGTCGCAGGGGCGGCGCCGTGTGCGTGCAGCCCCAGGACAGGCTGCCCTGCAGGGAGGGTGGGCGTGTCCAGGGCCGTAGGCGGCGGGTTGTGGCAGCTGCCACCGTGAGGCAGGTGCGCAGCAGGTACAGGGGTGGACAGGCCCAGGTGACGGGCAGAGATAGGAAGTGACCAGGGACACGGGGGGACTGCAGGGGCCGCCGAGAGCTCATGAGCCGAGCCTTTTTGGTTGTGTCACGATCGCTCGCCGTGCGGCACTGGACAAGGTCAGTGTCTCTGGATCTCCGCCTCCTGCAAAGGGAGCCGCTGGCGTTTGCGAGGAAGGCGGAGGAGGAACCTAGACGGACCTAGGGGGACCTCACCCAGCGGAGTGTGCAGGGTGGAGAGGGAGGCGGGGGAGTGATCGGAGGCTTGGCAGGAACCCTGTGGCCTGGGCCTGGGCGGGTTTGGCTGAAAGCTCTCTGGTTGCAGAATGGGCCCCGGGAGGCTGGAGATGGCCAGAGCTGTGGGCGAGGCTGGCGTGGACCCGGCTGAGTGCTCTGCTCTTTCTGGAAGGGCAGCCGGCGGCCTCGGTGCTCACTCCCCCCTGGAGGGCGTCTGATCCGCATTAAAGTGCTAAAGAGGCTGGAAACCAGAGGACGGAGATGCAGCAGATGGATCTGCTCGCTCAGGGCGACTTGCCCGAGAACCTTCTAGAAAGCCGCTAAGGTGAAATGCTGCCACACCTGGGCTTTAAAACGTACTTTGTGGGAAACCCAAGTGAAGAAGGGGTTGCTGATGATCCTTGGTTTATAAAGTAATTTTATTTAAAGTGCGTCCGCGGTGGAGAGGGCAGGAGCCTGTGAGAATCAGACTCGGGAGAAGCGGTGGGAGGTGGAGCACAGCCACGGAGGCCCTGCTGGGTGCGGCCCGTCTCGGACGGCGGCCCCATGTGTGTCACCACCCCTTTCTGAGCAGGACGACAGGAGGCAGCCAGGGAGGGAGATGTGGGGGCGCGGCCTTCCCCCCCTCCCAGCGTCCGAGGCCTCGGTGCTCTCGGGTCAGGAGCAGGGGCAGTGATGGGCTCCTGGCAGGGGGGCTGGCGGTTCCTTTCTGTGGGGCTGGCATTGGGGCGCGGTCAGCCCCGGGGCGGCTCGCTTATCCGGCTTCTCCTCCGTGGTGCCCGGCGGGGCCTGGGCGGGCCTGGTCCCTGGAGGGCTGAGCGCGGAGCAGGCTGGCCAGCCGGACCCGTGGCTCTGGCCCTGGTTCCCTTACGCACCTGGTCCTCAGTGTCAAGGGCACATTGGCCTTGGCTCTCGGGCGCCCTCTAGCTGTTACCTGTGGGCACGCTGGCAGGTGGATGTGACCCGGCCCTGCACTGAGCCCTTACACCGTGCCACCCCCACAGCCGGCGGTGCTGCCCCGCCAGTCTGCCCGCCCACACGCCAGGCCCTGCCCTCTGCCCTCTGCCCTCTGCGGAGAGCAGGGAGCGCGAGGAGAAGCCGCGCTGGTTCCCAAGGGGCAGCAGAGCCGGTGGAGGTGTGTCCAGGCAGCAGCAGGCGGGCAGGCCCAGCAGCACCAGGACATGGGGCGCCGGGGCCCTCCCCAGTCCTGGCCGGCCTCCTGGTCTGCACCCCGGCCGTCCCTGTGGCCCCGCACCCCCTTCCTCACACGGGGAGGGGGGGCCCTGCCTGGTTAGGAGGCCAAGGTCGTAATCACAGGCCCCGGGGAGTCTGCCGCCTCCATCCAGGGCCAGCGTCCTGCCTGATCCTGGCGGGGCCCGGGGGGTGCTTCTTGGAGGGGAGGGGGGGGGCATAGAGCAAACAGGAGCAGGGCTGGCCTTCAGGCACAGCAGCACCTGAGGCCCGCACCCTCCGCCCCAGATGTCCGCGGAGCCCCAGGCTTGTCTGCGGCCTGAAGGTGAGGCCCCGCTCTGGCCCTTCCCCTCAGGGAGCCGGGGCACCATGTGGGCGGGGAGCGCAGCCTTCCTGGGCGGAGGGTCGTCACGCCGTGCCAACTGCATGGTCCGTGCAAGCCCAACCTGTGGGCTTGGTCCGGAGGCCAGGGTTTGGGTTCGAGGCCTTGGGCCCGGCGTCCTTCGGGAAGGCAGGCTGGGGGCGGGCTGCCTGCTCTGGCCCAGCTCTCTCAGGGGCTGGCCACCTGCACGGCTGGCTCCAAGCCTTGCCCTGCCGCCAGGATCGGCATGTCGGGGGCCCTGGCCACAGGAGTGGCTCCTGTCCAGCTCCGGGTGAGGCTGGGCAGGGAGGGCCCTGCTGGAGGCCCTCGGGGCGGGCAGCGGAGGGATGGCAGCTGCCTGGGCAGGAGGCTGACCTCTGTCCGCTGTGCCAGCGGCTGCATTCCAGGTGACACGGAGCCGGCGGACCTGGGTGTGGTGCCCCCGCCCCCGCCCAGCAGGGCGCCGTGTGCCCTGGGCGGGTCAGTGACGAATCGTCTGCACCCGTTCCCTCTGGAGCAGACAGCAGCGCCCGCTCTGCAGCAGGGGAAGGCCCGGGAGCCACGGCGGTCACCTGCTGTCCCAGGCCCCCGCCCTCCCTGTGCGGTGGAGGCAGAGGCATCCTCTCACGGGGACCCGGGGAGTAAAGCCCGTGTGTAGAGGCCTTAGGCGCTCGGTGGGAGCTGTCCTGCTGTTGGGGACCAGAATGCCTCCGGTGACACCCCAAAACCGCTCAGCAGGACAGATTCCTTTGACAGGGAACAGCTGCTCCTCTCCCTGTGACTCGGGAGGTGTGCTTGGCCTCGCATGTGCTCCCCTCGACCCCCCTCCCCGTCTTCCAGCTCAGCCACCTGTCCCCGTGCCGCCCACGCCGTGGCCTGTGCAGGCTTCTGGGCTCAGGACGCAGGGAGGCAGGTGCCGGCCGCCTGGGGCCTCCTGCGGGCGGAGGGGGAGATGGGGGGCATGTGACACACACTCAGCCTGGGCAGGCGGCCACAGGGGCAGTGAGCCAGTTCACCAAGGGGCTGACCGTGCCAAGGAGCTGGGGCGATGGGCCTGAGGGCAGAACGGCCAGGATTGGTGGCTGGTGGCTGCCCCGATGGGGGCTGCAGGGTGGCGCTCAGCTTTGCGCCTGCCGAGTTAGGATCCCAGGGCGGGAGCCCCAGGTTGGGGAGCTATGTCAGCGAGGAGGGGGGTTCTGGCCTCCTGGGTGGGGTGAGGGAAGGGACAGGCCTGGCGGTGCGAGCTTCCCGTCTGGGCCCCGGCGCCCTCCTCTGAGAATGCCTCCGGGCTGCCAGGGGGGCCCTCCGTGGGGTCTCAGCAGCAACCCCAACCCGTGAGGACGGCAGAGACTGAAGCAGCCGCCCGAGAACGCTGCCAACCTGGTCTGTGCAGCTGTTTTATTAGAAAGCTGGTGTGCAAAATGGCGTCCCTCCCCAAGGACTCCCCCCACCTCCGACTGCCCCTCATGTCCTCGGGGGGTAGGGTTTGTGTAAAAATACGGAAAGGCCCATGCGGAAATGAGAGGAGGAGGGCGGGCGGGGCGGGCGGGCCCCTCACAGTGCTGCCCCTCCGGGGGCGGAGGAAGGCGAAGGGAGGCTGGGCCGCGGGCTGGTTCCGGTCACAACGGTCTAAAACCTCAGCCACGGCACCGGCGGCACCTGCTCTGGGCTGGGGTCTGAGGCCTGTCCTCCTGGCCTGGCGTCCCCGCCCT